GCTCGTGATCCACCCGCCTCAGCCTCCCAAAGTGCTGGGATTACAGGCTTGAGCCACTACGCCCAACTAATTTTTGTATTTTTAGTAGAGATGGGGTTTCACCATGTTAGCCAGGCTGGTCTTGAACTCCTGACTTTGTGATCTGCCCACCTTGGTCTTCCAAATTGCTGGGATTACAGGCATAGGCCACCGTGCCCGGCCAGGATGTGGTGCCTTTTTAAAGGGACCACATGAATTTCTGTGTTTATGTTATTGATTTTTTTAGGTAATTGTCACCATTTCTATTCCTTCCTTGATCTAAATATAGGTTCTGCATTCTCCCCAGTGAATTATATTTTTCTTATTTTAATTGGCTTATCCAATTCATTATCTTTAGAAACTTCCTAAAACTGGCTATTAGTGTTATCGTTCCAATACCTGAGTTTATATGAACTACTCAGCTACAGAACAAAGACTGACATTTATGTTCTAAAATTTTCAGATTTTCCAAATTCTAAACTGGTGTTTTGCAGGAATGCTCTACTTTGTCCAATAAGGAATCTTGTTTTGGTTGTGAGGAGTAAATCAGTTAACATTTCTAGAGTATGTAAGACAGTGCCTGATGTGCGGTGGGCACTCAATATATGCTAGCTATTACCATTTATTGAATATCTGCTATATTTGACAGACTATATGAAGTACTTTTACATGCAAATTTCTCATTCAATATGCATCTACAACAGAAACTATCTCACTTCTTACATTTCTACAATACAGTATCCCTTATTATTCCTATTTTAAGAATTAAAGAAAACCCTGAGGTTTAGATAAGCAAGTTGCTTACAGTCACACAATGTCATAGTAGTGGCAGAGCTGCGATTTTCCAGAATCTAAGCTCTTAGTCCTGGGAAGTACCTAGTGCCCAAAGAAGAAGATTGGAATAAAATAAGGCTGAATGGTGTGTAAGAACCAGATAACAAAAAGCCTCACAATTTTAAAGGCTGTGAATGTTAGTCTAAGAAGAGTTAACAACAAAAAAAGAAGTTTTAACTGAAGATAGTAAATGTGTTTTCTTGTACTTTAAAAAGAACAATTGGAGGTTGTGCGTGGTGGCTTGTGCCTGTAATCCTAGCCCTTTGGGAGGCCAAGGCAGACAGATGGCTTGAGATCAGGAGTTTGAAGCAGGGTGTGGTGGCTCATGCCTGTAATCCTAGCACTTTGGAAGGCTGAGGCAGGCAGATCATGAGGTCAGGGGTTTGAGACCAGCCTGACCAACATGGTGAAACCCTGTCTCTACTTAAAAATACAAAAATTAGCCAGGCGTGGTGGCGCCCACCTATAATCCTGGTTACTTGGGAGGCTGAGGCAGGAGAATCACTTGAACCCAGGAGATGGAGGTTGCGGTGAGCCAAGAGTATGCCATTGCACTCCAGCCTGGGTGACAGAACAGGACTCTGTCTCTGAAAAAGAAAAAGAGAGAGAGATCATGAGTTCGAGACCAGCCTGAGACCAACATGGCAAAACCCCAACTCCACTAAAAAATACAAAAATTATCCAGGCATGGTGGTGCATGTCTGTAGTCCCAGCTACTCGAACCCTAGAGGCAGAAGCTGGGAGGCAGAAGCTGGAGTGAACTGAGATCAAGCCACTGCACTCCAGCCTGGGCAACAAAGCAAGACATTGTCTTAAAAAGAAAAAAAAATCAGTTTGAATGCATTGTGGGAAATGGATTGAAAGGTAGAAAAAATAAATACAGGAAGACCTGTTTGAAAGCTATATAGTAATCAGAGTGAGATGAATCAGACCAAAGTAACAATATTAAAGATAAAAAAAAGAATGTATAAATTCTAGAAATATTTAGGACACAGGATCTATAGGACTTGGTGATTGACTGGGTTGGGTGGTGACAGTGACTCCCCATTGTGAATTCTCTGATGATGAGCAAGGTGTGCATGCTGCCTGAAGGTTTTTTTGCATTCTTTACATTCATAGGGTCTCTCTCCGGTATGAATTCTCTGATGTTGGGCAAGGGATCCACAGTAACTAAAAGCCTTTCCACAAACGGTACATTCATAAGGTTTCTCTCCAGTATGAACTCGCTGATGTTGAGTAAGGGATGAGTCATTGCTAAAAGCCTTCCCGCATTCTATACATTCGTAGGGTTTCTCTCCAGTGTGAACTCTTTGATGCTGAGCAAGGTAGGCAATCTGGCTGAATGCTTTCCTACATTCCTGACACTTATAAGGTTTTTCTCCAGTATGAATTCTCTGATGTTGAGCAAGGTGTGAATTCTGGCTGAAGGCCTTCCCACATTCCTTACATTCATAGGGTCTCTCTCCAGTATGTATTCTCTGATGTACAGTAAGGTATGCACGAAGGCTAAATGCTTTCCCACACACATTACATTCATAGGGTTTCTCTCCAGTATGAACTCTCTGGTGTTGAGCAATGGATGACCTGTTGCTAAATGCTTTCCCACATTCAATACATTCATAGGGTTTCTCTCCTGTATGAACTCTCTGATGTTGGGCAAGGTAGGCAAACTGGCTGAAGGCCTTTCTACATACCTTACATTCATAAGGTTTTTCTCCAGTATGAACTCTCAGATGTTGAACTAGATGTGCATTCTGACTAAAGGCTTTCCTACATTCCTTACATTCATAGGGTTTTTCTCCAGTGTGAATCCTCTGATGTTGAACAAGATTTGATCTCTGGCTAAAGGCTTTTCCACACTCTATACATTTATAGGGTTTCTCTCCAGTATGAATTCTTTGATGAAGAGTAAGGGATGAACTCTGGCTGAAGACTTTTTCACAGTCTTTACATTTCAAAAGTTTCTTCTCTGCACAGACACTCTTGGGCTTAATACCCATTAAATTTTTTTTAAAGCTTCCCTTATGTATATCATGTTTATGTACTTTCTCCACTTTGGGGATTATCTTTTGTGCACAAAGCAGTGGGTTCTGATGAAAACTTCCCCAAGATTTATATTCTTGTTCTCTTTCATCGACCAGGGCTTCTTCATGAGTGATTATCTCTTCCTTGAAACATGCCTTCTGATTCCCTGGTTGCCTCTCAAAATAGCCCTCACATTTCCACTCTTCTCTCAAACTGGAGTACTCAAGGTTATACCTTGTGAGTGTTTCTATTATCTGCTGGGATTGATGTTCTTTATAAAAGTCCTGCTTTGGGGTTATTTCTTCAGTCTCACATAGAGGCTCCCAGCCTGAAAAGTAATAATAAGAAAAAATGTCTCCTCTATTGAGTATTAGAAAGTACATTTGAGAAAGTACGTCTGTAAAGTAAAATGTCAATTTAATGGCAAGTAAAACCCACAAGAATATTGGCTTTTGCAGTTCTGAAGTATACAAGAAGAGAAACTCAAAACAGGTCATACAGAAACCGAAGGAGGAAAGATTAGAATTATAAAAGAAAAATCAGTAAATCTCAGGGCAGGAAGAAATTAGAGATGTGGCCAGAGTGGGTTACAATGTTATGCCTGTATTAGGAAAACAGACACTGAAATAGTCTCCATTCTTATAGCTGCTTCATTCAAGAACATTCACTGAACAAATATTTATCTTGTGCCAAATTCTTTTCTGATGCTTTTAATATCAAAAAACAAAGATCCTTACCTTCAGTGATGTTATTTTCTTAAAAGAGACAGAAAATAAGTGATAAGTAAATTTTATTTTATGTTAGAAGATACTAAAGTGCATCAGATAAAGAAAATCAGGGTAGGGGATATCAGGAGTACTGATGAAATTAGAGCTAGGAATCATTAATAAGTTCACACTTAAGCTAAGATTTGAAAAAAGTGAAGAAGTCAGTCATTCAAGTTTCTGGGGAAAAAGCATTCAGGGAAGAAGCAGCAGCTGGTTTAATGGCTTCAAAAGTAAAAGCATGTCTACTACGTTTAGGGAATAATAAGAAGGGCAGTGTGTCTATAGAGTGAGTAGCAGGATATAAAGTCAGGAAGTGAAAGGTAATGACAGTATTTAACCTTCACAGGCCTTCTAAGGAATTTGTCTTTTACTCTGAGACTGGTAGTGTATCAGTTTGTTTTCACATTGCCATAAAGACACTACCTGAGACTGGGTAATTTATAAACAAAAGAGGGTTAACTGACTCACAGTTCTGCATGGCTAGGAAGGCCTCAGGAAACTTACAATCATGGCAGAAGGTGAAGGGGAAGCAGGCATCTTCTTTATAAGGTGGCTGGAAAGAAGGAGAGAGAGGGAAGGAGCAAGTGAGGGAAGGAGAGAGAGAGGAAGAGAGAGAGAGGAAACAGGGAAAACTGCCACTTTTAAAGCATCAAGTCTTGTGAGAACTTCCTCAATATCATGAGAACAGCATGGGGAAAACTGCCCCCATGTTCCAATCACCTCCCACCAGGTCCCTTCCTCAACACATGGGGATTATACTTCAAGATGAGATTTGGATGAGGACACAGAACCAAACCATATCAGACGGTAATGTAGTTCCATCCAGATCTCATCTTGAAATGTAATCCCCAATGCTGGAGGTCGGGCCTGGTGGGAAGTGACTGGATCATGGGGGTGGATTCCTCATGAATGGTTTAGTACCATCCTGTTGATACTGTCATGACAGTGAGTGAATTCTCATGACAGCTGGTCCTTTAAAAGTATGTGGCACCTCCTGCCTCTCTCATGTGCTCCTGGCTTTTGCCAAGTGATATGCCTGCTCTCCGTTCATCTTCTGCCATGACTGGAAGCTTCCTGAGACCTCCTGAGAGGAAGATGCCACTGTGCTTCCTGTACAGCCTGCAGAACTGACAGCCAATTAAACCTCTTTCCGTAGAAATTACCCAGTCTCAGGTATTGTATTTCTTTACAGCAGTGCAAGAACAGCCTAACACAGATGGACACACATTGTAGTGGGCTCAGTAGAGGAGTAATATCTGGTTGCTATTCCATGAAATCACTGGAAGGTGGAAAACAAGGAGAAAAGCAAGGAAAACTATTATTATACTAGGCCAGCTAAGTGATAGGTAACATTGGGAGATACCAACAAACGAATAGTGAGGGGATTAGATCCTAGGTGTATTTTATAGACTGATCCAAGAGAATATTCTAACAAACTGAACCTAGAATGGATATAAAAAATGGGAAAAGCATTCCTCCTGAGTTTATGGTCTGAGCAGTGGAAGGATAAAATAGCCACCAATAACAGTGGGGAAAGCCATGAGTACAGCAGGTTTGTGTGGCAAGGTAGGGAAGATCTGGAGTTCAATTTTAAGAATATTAAATTTAAGCTGTTCGTTAGACTTTGAAATGGAGACGCTGAGTAGGCAGATAGACATGTGACACTGGAATTTAAGAGAGAGGTCTGAGCTCGAGATTTGAAATTGGAATTTGTCAGCAGGTAGGTGGGATTTAAAGAAACTAAATTACCAAGAGGATGCGTGTAGATAAAAAAAAGAAAAAAGGGCAAGAAAAGAACCTTACAACACTCCAACATGAAGATATTTGGCAAGAGGGAAGAAACTGACAAAAGAGATTAAGAAGGAGCAAATGTAAAGAAAAATCAAGGCTCAGTACATTCATACCACAATATTAAAATATAAACTTGATAATATGATAATAAAAATCAACTTGAGCTGGACATGATGGCTCACGCCTGTAATCTCAACACTTTGAGAGGCTAAGGTGAGAAGACTGCCTGAACCAGGAGTTTGAGACCAGCCCGGGAAACACAGCACTACTTCGTTTCTACAAGAAAACAAAAAAAGCTGGCTTTGGTGGTGTGTGCCTGTATGCGCAGCTACTTAGGAGGCTGCAGAAGGAGGATCATTTGAGCCTAGGAGGCCAAGGCTACAGTGAGCAGTGATCATACCACTGCACTCCAGCCTGGATGACAGAACAAGACCTTATTTAAAAAAAAAAAAAATTCATTTATAATGATTACTCTCGTTTAAAGATTATCATTTTCAATAATAAAACGTACTATTACAATAAGACACATGGTATTGAAATACATTAGGCAAGAAATGTCACCAAAATTATTAATAACAAATAATAGTAACCATTAAAAATAATTATGTATATGTAGTAGCTTGTCAAAACACCACAAATAAATCATTAGATAAATGAAAGATACATAAAGAACGTAGGAACTATGAGGGAGATTACTGCATTATTTATACTTTTATAGCTTTATCTAATAAGAATATTACTTTCAAATTTTTGAATCAGTTGTAAAAAGCAAAAGAAGAAAGCATAAAGAAAATAATTAACATTAGAAAGATATCTTTAACATTGACAACAACCACCACCACAAGGGAAAATACCCTAGAAATAAATTAACAAGAAATGAGCAAAATCTTTAAAAGTGAAATGACGAACTTCCCCCTAACTCCCCACAAAAAGTATGAATAATGGGAGAAGATGCACACCTTGTTTTTTTTACATGAAGATTCACCAATGTACATCCATTGATGTTCACTAAATTCATCTATTATTTCTATTCAATTACAATCAAAGCCTCATAATGACCTTTTCCAGAATCGTGTAATAAAGAATCTGGCTGGCCTTTATTTCTGGTTCTCAGGAATTAACCTCTGAGCCCTGAGTGGTAGGAAAACAGTGCCAAAGAGGATCTTTGTAATTCATGGTGGGCCCTGCAGGCCACATCTGATAGTTTGTACTAATGAGGTGCCTCCTGGTAGGTCCCTAGATATTTTGGGCTAATAATATGACTCAGGATGGAGGCTAGCCAAGCCAGAAAGATCAATCATGTAATTAGAGGGTTGAGCCCCTGAGCCACCTTGATTATTAAATCAAACTCTGGGACAGGAAGGAGTGTTGGAGACTGAGACATATAGTTAATGATTAAATCGATCATTCCTATATCATAAAATTCCAATAAAAACTCTGGACACTGAAGTTCAGAACTTCTTTGTATGGCAATATTTCTTTAAATATTTAATAATTTTTTAACTATTGAGATGACTAGAAGGCCCCTGAGAATAACAGAAGCTTTGCATTTCAAACCCTCCAGGTCTTGCCCTTGGCATCCCTCCCTGCTGGTTCTGATTTGTATTCTTTTGCTGTAATAAAACTGTCATTTTAATATAGCTCCTTCCTGAGTTCTGGGAATTATTCTAGTGAATTACCAAACCTGAGAGTGGGCTGAAGTGAAGGGTTCCCTGGGGACTTCCAAACTTGTGGCTGGCATCTGAAGTGACTGCAGATTTGTAGAGCACTATCCTCTCAGATTTTAGAGTCTGACAAACTCCTTGCAAGAATGTCTTTTTTTAAAAAATCCTGAAGATCATTAAAAAATAAAAATGCCTCTAGTATAGACCATATGTTAGGCCAAAAAACAAACGTAAAAATGAAAAAGATTAAAATCGTACAACTATCTTATCTGATTACAATTAAATAAATCTAGAAACCAATGGCAGAAGGGGGAATGATAAATCTACAAATATGTGAAAATTAAACAGCACACTCTTACACAACAAGGAGCAAAGAAGAAATTATAAGGAAAATTAGAAAATACCTTATGACAAATGAAAACCAAAGCACAACATATAAAATTTATGGGATACAGTGAAAACAGTGCCAAAGAGGATTTTATGACTGTAAATACTTACATTAAAAAAGATTTCAATCAACAACATAACTTTACATTTTAACAAACTAGAAAAAGAAAAGCAAATTAAATCCAAAGTTAGCAAAAGAAAAAAATAATATTCAAGCCGTGATAAACAAAATAGAGAATAGAATAACAAGAGAAAATCAATAAAACCAAGAGTTTATGCTTTGAAAAGAAATCAACAAAGTCATAAACGTTTAGGTAGATTGACAAAGAATAAAGAGAAAAGACTCAAGCAAATCAGAAATTAAGGAAGCTAACATTCCTACTAATTTTACAGAAACTACAAAGGATTACAAGAGAGTACTATGAACAACTATATGCCAGCAAATTGGATGTCTGGGATAGAATGGACAAATTCCTGGAAACACACACCTATGAAGAATGAATAATAAAGAATCAGAAAACCTTAAGAGAGCTACAGTAAGAAGACTGTATCAGTCATCAAAAAGTTCCAAACAAAGAAAAGCCCAGGATCAGATGCTTTTCTATCAAACATTTAAAAAAGAATTAACGTTAATCTTCTTCAAACTCTAAATTGAAGAGAAGACATCCAAACTCATTTAATGAGGCCAATATTATGCCTGAGTAGCTGGGATTACAGGTGCCCGCCACCACACCTAGCTAATTTTTGTATTTTTAATAGAGACAGGGTTTCACCATGTTGGCCAGGATGGTCTCGATCTCCTGACCTCAGGATCCACCCACCTGAGCCTCCCAAAGTGCTGGGATTTACAGGCATGAGCCACTGCACCTGGCCAATAAAGTTGGACTCTTATCTTATAATGTACATAAAAATTAACTCAAAATGGATCAAGAGCAAGAATATAAAGCTCTTAGAAACAAACAGGGGAAAAGCCTCATGACACTAGATTTGGCAGTGCATTCTTGGTTATAACACCAAAAGTACAGGCAACAAAAGAAAAACTAAATACCTGGACTACATCAAAATTTAAAACTTTGGTGTAGCAGAGGACATTACCAACAGAGTAAAAAGACAACCCACAGAATAGAAGAAAATATTTACAAATCATATCTGATAAAGGATTAATATTCAAAATATATAATCCAACAGCAACAACAGAAAGATTTCAAAAATAGGCAACAGATTTGAATAACCATTTCTCCAAAGAAGATATACAAATTGCCACAAGCACATGAGAAGATGTTCAACATTCTAATCATTAGGTAAACACACACCAAATCCACAAGATATCACCTCACACCCATTAGGATGGCTACTATTAAAAAAAAAAAAAAGGAAAATCAGCGTTGATGAGAATATGGAAAAAAGTGAAACATTCGGACATTGTTGATGAGGATATAAAAATAGTGCAGCCACTATGAAAATAATATGACAGTTTCTCAAAAAATTAAAAATAAAATCACCATATAATCTAGCAATTCCAATTCTGAGTATACACCTAAAATAACTGAAAGCAGGGATTCAAAGAGATACTTACACACCCATATTCATAGCTCCATTATTCACAATATACAAAAGGTATAAGCAGTCAAGGTGTCCATTGATGGATAACTGATAAACAAAATGTGGCATGTACAACAGATTATTCATCCTTAGGAGGAAATTCTGACATATGCTATAATATATATATAACTTGACATTATAAGTGAAATAGCCAGTCACAAAAGGACAAATATTGTATGATTCCACTTATATGAGGTACCTAGAGTAGTCCAGCAATATAGCAGACTAGTTATAATGACAAATCTTTCTGGTATAAAAAAGCTTACGATTTTAAAACTTAAAATTTTTTAAATTTAAGCTTATGAATTAAAAACTTTCTTTTAGCTGCATTACCAAGCTAGCAAGAAATTAAGGTAAACTTTCTGAGGTCAAGCAGACTCTAGAAGGTACTTTCAATTAAGTAAGGTAGAACTGAAGCTGGGAGCATCAATTTATCCCTGGTGAGTTTGGTCTTAGGCACATGTAACTGGAGTTTTAGGAAAAATAAACACAGAGAATGGGAGAGTGGCAATATGTGAGGAGATAATCGCTGATAATTACCCAGAGCCCATTAGGTCAGATTTAAAAAATCACAGTAAATCCCAACAGCTGAAATTTACATCTAGCTACATCACATTGAAAATCCAGAATAACTGGCAGGGCGTGGTGGCTCACGCCTGTAACCTCAGTACTTTGGAAGGCTGAGGCAGGCAGATCACCTGAGGTCAGGAGTTCGACACCAGCCTGGCCAACATGGTGAAACCCTGTCTCTACTAAAAATAAATAATTAGCTAGGTGTGGTGGCAAGCACCTGTAGTCTTAGCTACTAGGGAGGCTGAGTCAGGAGAATTGCTTGAACCCAGAAGGCGAAGTTTGCAGTGAACTGAGATCGCGCCACTGCACTCCAGCCCGGGCGACAGAGACTCCATCTCAAAAAAAAAAAAAAATACAGAATAACCAAAAGGAAGTTCTTAAAAATTGCAAGAAAGAATGTATTAATGAAAACTGACTTCTCAATACCAAGAACAGAAGCCAGAAAAGCATGGAATAGTTTCTTTAAAGCACTCATAAAAATAATCTGTCACTGGGCACGGTGGCTCATGCCTGTAATCCCAGCACTTTGGAAGGCAGAGGCAGGTAGATCACGAGGTCAGGAGTTTGAGACCAGCCTGGCCAACATAGTGAAAGCCCATCTCTACTAAAAATACAAAAAATTAGTTGGATGTGGTGGCAGGCACCTATAATCCCAGTTACTAGGGAGGCTGAGGCAGGAGGCTCCCTTGAACCCAGGAGGTGGAGGTTGCAGTGAGCCGAGATCGTGACACTGCACTCCAGCCTGGGCAACAGTGCAAGACTCCATCTCCAAATAATAATAATAATAATAATAATAATAATGTCAATCTATGACTGAGAAAAAGTCATAGATTTTTGTTGGAGTGGCGTGATCTTAGCTCACCACAACCTCCGCCTCCCGGGTTCAAGGGATTCTCCTGCCTCAGCCTCCCAGGTGTAATCCCACCTGTAGCTGGGATTACAGGTGCCCACCACCACGCCCAGCTAATTTTTTTTTTTTTTTTGTATTTTTAGTAGCGACAGGGTTTCATCATATTGGCCAGCCTGGTCTCAAACTCCTGACCTCAGATGATCCACCCACTTGCCTCAGCCTCCCAAAGCACTGGGATTACAGGCCTGAGCCACTGTGCCTGGCTGAGGAAAATAGCTTTTAAAGACTAAGAGGCTTATGAAACTGAGAGGAAATGGGACTTATTAGAAAGGAGTCGGCAAAGCGAGAGAAGACATAATTAAAAATAACAAATGTGGGAGAACATCCAAAAAGGCCCCAAATTTCTATGAAGACCTAGAACATTGGAGAAGAATTTGAAAGCCTGAAAAATGAAGAGGTGATACATTTGAGTCAGGCTGAGCTGTCACTTGCAAAGATTTTTGCCTATTTCCTCTTCACTAACCTGAGCACAAGCCTTTTGTCAGCTCTCTCTTCACCATCCAGGGTGCTTTTCCTTGTTCCAACAATAATATCACACTTGGTTTGGAAAAGCAAAGTCCTGCAATATATGGAAAAAAATAGAATTTGTTCATGCAGTGGATATTCCAAACTCACATTCAATCCTTTGATCATCCAGGAAAAGGACATGCATCAGAAGGATAAGGAAGATGAAGCTTCCCCAGCATAAGCCAAGAATACGTTCACTGCCAAATCCATAAACACTAAGCCATTTGTTTGGCACAGGCAGCAGACATTCAGCAAAACTTTGCAGATGTTATCCAAAAACTCACAATAGTGGTAGCAAAGAGCCCCTTTTGAGCAGAAGCTCAATTTTGCAAGAAGATATCCTTACCCAGTGATACCAAGATCCTGTAGTTCTCCAGCATCACATTACTATACAGATGTCTTTGAGAAGAATCCAGACAATCCCACTCCTCTTGGGAGAAGTCTACAGCCACATCTCTGAAGGTCACCAACTCCTGACATGAAACAAATGAAAGAACCATATTCACCTCATTTACTCTGCCCTGGGCACACTGGGCTCTCTCTGATATTACATCCTCAAATATATAACCATGTTATCGTATTTATATTCAGACCCTTTGTATGCCTCAGATTATTCCAGTATAAAATAGCAGTATTCCTACCCCAATTCCCTATTCCCTAACCCTGCTTTATTTTTCTCCACAGCAGTTAATTATTTTATTCATGGCCTGTTCTTCACCCTCCTCAACTTTATAAAATTTCAGCTCCATGAGGACAGAGTATGTTTTGGTCACTGCTTTATTCCCAGGTACAGAATAGAATCTGGCACATGTGAGGCATTCAGATATTGACTAAGTTGAATTAATCAATGAGTGGTTTGAAGAAAATTTCAAGAAGCTAGAAAGGGATCAAAAATGATCCCAGAAAGTATTCACTATATCTCTGAAAACTGTGCTAGACCAAGCAGAGCAGGGCATCAATTCCATTAAAATTCAAATACTCTAATCCAGAGTTCTCAAAATTTTGTGTAAATAAATAGGTGTTCTACTCATAATATTGCTGCTGCCTACTGGGATTAGAGGAAGTTCTGAAAAACCTGACTATTGGCTGGGCGTGGTGGCTCACGCCTATAATCCCAGCACTTTGGGAGGCCAAGGTGGTTGGATTATCTGAGGTCAGGAGTTTGAGACCAGCCTGGCCAACATGGTGAAACCCTGTCTCTACTAAAAATACAAAAATTAGCTGGCTGTGGTGGCGCATGCCTGTAGTCCCAGCTACTCAGAAGGCTGAGGCAGAAGAATTGCTTGAACCCAGGAGACAGATTGCAGTGAGCCAAGATTATGCCACTACACTCCAACCTGGGTGACAGCACGAGACTCCATCTGAAAAAAAGCTGCTGTCATGCCTTTGGATTCCAGGTTTCTATAATGTGACCACTTGCTGATGAAACAAACATACATTATCTAAGTATTAATTTAATTTTTTACAAAATTTTTTACAAAATTAAAACCTGTCAATGTAACTTTTTACATTTGACACAATTTTGTTACTGTTAAAGAAACTGTCTCTGGGCTGGGTGGGGTAGCTCACACCTATTAGGGGAGGCTGAGGCGGGCTTATCACTTGAGGTCAGTAGTTCCAGACCAGCCTGGCCAACATGGTAAAACCCTGTCTCTACTAAAAAATACAAAAATTAGCTGGGCCTGCTGGCACGCACCTATAACCCTATAATCCCACTCCAGAAGCTGAGGCAGGAGAATTGTTTGAATCAGGGAGGCAGAGGTTGCAGTGAGCTGAGATTGTGCCACTGCACTCCAGCCTGGGCAACACAGCAAGACCTTGTCTCAAAAATGAAACAAAACAAAAAGAAAGAGCTATCTCTACAGAAGCAAAATTCTTCAACACTTAGTAATCTTTTTTCTAACTTAATTATACGAAGTAGGTAAATCTCTCCCTCTCTCCTGCTGCGAACAGTAGGGTTCATATGGTGTACAAACTTCCTAAAATGGCGTCCTTAGCTTATATAAATACATATAATAAATTTATAAATATTTATATATAACACACATATTCCACTGATTCTTTATAGTCAACAAAGAATTTCAATGTCAACATAGGAGCTTAAATTCTATTCTTAAAATATTTGACCCCTAACAAATGATGATAATACTTGGTTTCAAAATCTATTCACAATTATCATCAAACCAGTCTGAAGCAAAACCACAGTTCCCACTTTTTCCTGTTCTCTTTTTGCCCTTAAAGAAACATGGTCTCCAGCTGAGAGGATGACTTCCCCTCACGCCCTGTCACTGATGACTGTTTTATTCCCCATGTTCCTAGTGCCACAGCACCTGAAGGTGAGGCAGGCCACCTCTTTGCTCTGGTTTCCAGGCCATTTCGTCTTCCATAAAAGACATCTAGTTTTCAACATCAAGAAATTAGAATATGTCAGTCACAATCCCTCCTTGTGATAGCTATCTACTAATTCTCTGTCATTATAGATACCAATTCTCTGTCATTAAATTCTTCAGCACCTGGCTCACTGTCACTCTCTTTAATGTCATTCCTATCATTCTTCGGTCTCTTCAATATCTACATAAATAATACTCCCCACAATCTGGCCTCTCAGTTCTCTGACCCCTCTCTCCTCTAGTGGCCTTATCCTCCACACTGCTACAGTCATTCACTTCCATGGTCATGACACAGATCTTGTCATTACCAGTCAGTACCAAACCCTTCATAACCTCAATTATCCCACTCTGACTTCTATCACCTATATCTCTTCTTTTTGTGACGAAGTCTCACTCTAGTTGCCCAGGCTGAAGTGCAATGGTGCGGTCTCGGCTCACTGCAACCTCAGCCTCCCAGGTTCAAGCAATTCTGCCTCAGCCTCCCAAGTAGCTGGGATTATAGGTGCCCACTGCCACGCCCGACTAATTTTATTTATTTATTTTTTTTGTATTTTGGGTAGAGATGGGGTTTCACCATGTTGGCCAGGCTGGTCTCAAACTCCTGACCTCAGGCAATCTGTCCACCTTGGCCTCCCAAAGTGCTAGGATTATAGGCGTGAGCCACCACACCCAGCCTCTGTCTCCTGGTTCTCAACTCTTGCCCTATGATACCCCAAACTGGATAGTTATCTGACTCCACTGGAAGTCAAATTCTGGAGAAGTACAACTCATTGATCTTACCACTTTTCACCACTTTTTCACTGTTCCTCATCCCTGAGTACTCTCACTTCCCAGCACAATCATCTGTTATAATCACTCCCTTCATATGCCTTTGCCTTCCCTCTCTCACTGAACGTACTCACTGGGTTAAACTGCAGCCATCTTTCTGCTTACTCTGTGCCCATACTCTGCATAGCTGAACTCTGCAGGAGAAAATCATACCAGCCATACTAATTAGTCTCACTTTAAATTCATGATCACTTAACCTCATGTGGGCCGAAATGCTGCATGATACATTTCCCTGGTCCGTTCAGCCTTTTGCTAAATGACCGTTTGATACTGTCCCCTCTCTCTTCATACCTTCAAGATCTTCTTCCCCATGCTCACTCTCAGTGGAAAATCTTGCTTATTCTCTCACTGAGAAAACAAAACCCATACAAAGAGAACTTCCACAAACTCCCGCTACATCTACACATCCACCTGCACCTGTGCTTATACACCCTAACATGCCCTTCTCCTATAATTGAACAACCCACTTTTCTAGAAAAGACCAAACACTCAGCTCCTCTTACCTACCTAAGCACGTTGTTCCAGCAATTCCTTTTTCTCTATTCATCTTCAAATTTCCCTTTCTACTGAATCTTTAACTTCAGCCTGCCAACATATATCCATTGTCCTGAAACCTTGTCAATTAGACTTTCTCCTTCAGTTACCACCCATTTCTCTCCTTCTCTTACAGCTACTTTTTAAGAGTTGTCTATGCTCCCTATTATTTCCACCCACCCCCTGCCTATAAAGAATGGCATCATATGATTTAGGTGTTAACAGGATCGCTTTGGCTGCTCCACTGAGAACAGACTAAAGGAGAACAGGAGTAGATGTAGAGAGACAAGTTAGGAGAGTACCACAGAAACACAGCTGAGAGTCGATGGTTCAGAACATAATGGAAGCAGTGGTGATAGTAAAAAGTAGTCTGGGCTGGGCACAGTGGCTCACACCTGTAATCCCAGCACTTTGGGAGGTTGAGGCAGGTCGATCATGAGGTCAAGAGATCGAGGCCAGCCTAGCCAACATGGTGAAACCCTGTTGCTACTAAAAATACAAAAATTAGCTGGGCATGGTGGTACCTGTAGTCCTAGCTACTCAGGAGGCTGAGGCGGGAGAATCGCTTGAACCTGGGAGCTAGAGGTTGCAGCTAGCCAAGATCGCACCACTGCACTGCAGCCTGGCAACAGAGTGAGACTCTGTCTCAAAAAAAAAAAAAAAAAAAAAAAGTAGTCTGATTCTGGATATATTTTGAAGTTAGAACCAACAGAATTTCCTGATGGAAGATTTTTAGCTTAAGTTGAGTTCCTTTTAGTTGAGTTAGCTTTTAGTTGAGTTCCCTAATTCTATCTTTGTCCTATTCAGTTTTTTCTCAGTAGCAGCCAGAGTAATCCTACTAAAATGAAAATCAGTTCACGTCACTCATGCTCCAAAACCGCCAATGCCTCATTTCACTCCGTTTGTAAAATGTTTGCATTTGAGATATCTCTTATGCAACCAAATGAAGATGTTTAGTAGGCAGTCAGATATACAGTCTAGAGTTCAAGAGACGTCTGGGCTGTATACAATTTGGTAGTTGTTGGCATAATGTACATGGCATTTGAAGCTATGAGACAGGATGAGGTTACCAAGGTAGTAAGTGTAGATAGAGAACAGGATGAGGAACTAAGCCCTGTGACACCCAGTGATAATGGGTGCTCACTAAAAATCTGAATGAATGATGTTTGCTTAGAGACTACAGTGAGGAAGTTGGTCTGTATCCATATCTGAGGGCAGTATCCCAGGCAGAGAGAATAGCAAGTGTGAGGCCATACATTAAGAATGTACTCACAACATTACAAGGAAGCTGGTGTTGCTGGAACTGAGTTACTGAGTTAAACACGGGGTCAGAGGGAGAGTCAGGGACCAGATTATGCAGGGCCCTGCAGGTCAAGACAGGGATTTAAGCATTTATCTTAAATGAGACAGGAATCCAATGGAGAGTGTTGATAAGTGACATGACTGGTTACCCAGAAACGTTTCAGCAGAAGCAAAATTAATATCTGCTTGTTCTGAAAAGCAGACAGATATTCAGGGAAGAAAGAAAACACCAACGCACCTGGTACATGGCTTTAAGAAGCCCAACAGCCATTCTTCCTTCCTCCTGGCTCTTCTCTTGGGAAATAGCAGTGGCCTCAGATGACTGAGATGGGGAAAAGAACATGAGAAACTAGGCTTTTCTTGCAGCATCCAGAGTCACCAGTCTAGACTTTTTAGGCTTCTTTCCTCTTCTTGCAACCTTCCCTCCAATAGAGAGAGCATAATGGAGACCTAGGAATTTGTTTGCATACAATTTAACTCATGCCTAAATCTTTTTTTTTTTTGGAGACACAGTTTCCCTCTTGTTGCCCAGGCTGGAGTGTAATGGCCTGACCTCGGCTTACCACAGCCTCCGCCTCCCGGGTTCAAGTGATTCTCCTGCCTCAGCCTCCCGAGTAGCTGGGATTACAGGCATTCACCACCACGCTCAGCTAATTTTGTATTTTTAGTAGACACGGGTTTCTCCATGTTGGTCAAGCTGGTCTTGAACTCCCGACCTCAGGTGATCCTCCCGCCTGAGCCTCCCAAGGTGCTGGGATTACAGGCATGAGCCACCGCACCTGGCTGCCTAAATCATTTTTTAATTCCTCAGCTTAACTGTTGTTAATGTTCTAGGTTTTACAAATACCGTCTTAGAGGAATGTAAGCTTTTACAAAAAGACACAGAACTAATAAATAACAGCACCAAGGTCAAATAAAAGAGTACCTGACCCCACAATCCTCTCCAATAAGATCAGTGATTCTGAAACTTGGTGGCACATTGATATGACTTGGCTGGCTTTAAAAGCCTCTCGGTGGCACACAGTCTCTCACGCATTCCCTGACGTACCCAGTGTGTGAAAAACTACAATGCCAGCCACCGTCTTACGCACGCCACAGTCCAGTCAGAGGCCACGGGTATGGGCTGCCTCACAAGGGCACCCTTTCCCATACCGGCAAGGCTCAGACACCAGGGTATCTATCATAAGTGACAATCACAATCCAGTCACAAAGAGGCTGCGGGTATCGGCCCAACGGGGGTCAGCGAACAGTCGCCCGCTCCCGCCCTAACTCAGCCTCACACTCCATGGTGCCATTGACTCCCTCGCACCCAGTCACACAGGACGCGGACAGGCACAAGCGGTGACAGCCTCGCACTGAACGGTAGCAACCTCCGCTCGTACCGGAGTCACACAGAGGGCCTGGAACGAACTTCCAGAGACCCACAAGCCACTCTTCAGCCTACTCCCTACCTGTAGAACTGAACTGCGGGAAGATCCCATTCCCGCCCCGAAGGCAAGGGGAATCTCCACTTTGCTCTCACCCCTACCCTGAGTTGGAGGGAACCCAGCACCCGCGGGCCCGGAAAGAAGCGCCTCAGCTGCCTCCGCCGCCGGAGGACACAAAGGGGCCGCCGGCCCAGCTCTCGCGGGGGCCGCTGGGAAACGTAGTCCGCAGTAGAAAAGGTCGCAGGGCCGCAGGATCTGACAGCAGCGGTGCAGCTCCGCGCGGGGTTCGTGATGTCGCCTCCTTCCCAGTAGGTTCTCCCACTTTGGCCTCTCCCCGGCCTTCCAGCCTGGAGCCCAAAAGTCCGGATTCCCTGCAGCTCCGAGCCTGGCTTGGCTACAGGGACGGGGCCCAGCGTCACACTACACGGACTGGTATGGAAGTGCGCAGGCACGGGCGCTCCGCGCGCCTCCCTTAGCAACCAGGGCGGGGAGTTGAGAACAGCGGGTTGGCCTCAGGAAAAAGGTTTGTGCGTGGGAACGCACTACTGGCGCGTCTACACAAAGTGGGTGGGAGGCGAATTCCTAGAATTGTGCTGGATACCCGAAAAAATTGGTGGGGGCCAGGAGGTATGCTGCGCAAGCGCACTACGTTCCTGCCAGTCTCCCAGCTCGCTACCCTCGTGCTGGGCGCGGTGGTTCACGCCTGTAATCCTAGCACTTTGGGAGACCAAGGCGGGAGGATCACTTGAGGTCAGGAGTTGGGGACCAACCTGGCCAATATAGTGAAACTACGTCTCTACTAAAAATACAAAAAAATTAGCCAGGCGCACGCGCCTGTAATCCCAGCTATTCAGGAGGCTGAGTCAGGAGAATTGCTTGAACCCGGGAGGGGGAGGTTGTAGTGAGCGTAGATAGCGCCAGTATACACCAGACTGGGCGACAGAGCAAGACTCTGTCTCCAAGAAAAAAAAAAAAAAAGAAAGAACTAAAGAACTCCTGACCTCGGATGATCCACCGACCTCAGCCTCCCAAAGTGCTGGGATCACGGGCGTGAGCCACCGCGTCCAGCTTCTTATCTTTTTATTAAAGGTATTAAGACCGGCCCCGTGTGTCTCATGCCTGTAACCCCAGCACTTTGTGAGGCCCAGGCGGGAGGATAACTTGCTCAGGAGGTCGAGACCAGCTTGGGCAACATAGCGAGACGTCATCTTTACTAACAATTAAAAAAAAAATCAGCCAGGCCGGGTGTTCCGTGTTTGTAGTCCCAGTTACTCGGAAGGCTTGAGGCAGAGAATCGATTGAGCCCGGGAGTTCGAGGCTACAGTGAGCAAGGATCGCGCCGCTGCACTCCAGTCTGGGCAACAAAGGGAGGCTCTGCCAAAAAAAAAAAAAAGACTAAAGGCATAGAGCAGTTAAGTAGCTAGTGTAAGATGACACAGCTAGTAAGACCAAGTCTGTTTAGAATCCAGGCGGTCTGGCCACACTATTTTTCACTCACGATCCCAGGTCATTTACTCCAATAACACTGTCATAGTCACAATCGAGAAGTCCAGAAAGAACGAATATACACGCACACCGTCTCTGACAAAAATGCAAGGTCAGAATCAGTCACGAGAACATGAAACGCGACGTGGTCACACAAAAGTTTGCACATTCGCACGACCTCAGATGTCACTGGACCTCAGTGTTTCTCGCCCCAGAAACTCCAAACTCCAAATTCCGTGGCCGAAGTTTCACACACACAGTCACTCCTCCCTGTTGTAGCCGCTGCGAGGACCTTACGGCTCCAGCTGACCTAGCCTTCACGGGCCCTTTTACTCTCACCACCTTCACCCCGCTGTATTCCAGTCTCCAGTAGAGACCCGAACACACGGAACTAAACAGACTGAGCCGGGATTCCTTCACGGATCCCGCAAGCCTGCAGCTCCAGCCGACAGTAAGAAGGAAGTGCCTTTTTGCAGGGAGGGGGAAAAAAAAAAAAAAAAAGGTAGGGCCGCGAAGGCCTTTGGGAAATGTAGTCCGGAGCAGGAAGCAGCGGAACGATTCGATTCTTCTCAGTTCCAAGTTGCGCTCTCAATCTCAGAGCCGGGCTCGCGAGAGGCTGCTTCGGCAAAACCCGAGGCTGAGCCCCCTGCGCACAGGTGTGAGTCCTGAAACGCCGCGGTCGACTTTGCAGGACGCGCAAACGGGGAAACGGGTGCCGCCCGGGGCCGCGGGGGCCTCTGGGAAGCGTCGCCCCTGGTCTAACGGACCGAGGCTTGTGGCGCTCTCAGGCACCGCCAGCGCCGTCCTCAGTGGCGCCTCGTCCCAGTCCGCGCCGGCTGTGCCACTTGGGCAGCGTTAGGTGTGGAGTCGGGGCCTGTGTCCGCGGACTCTGTGGTGAGTCCTCGGGAAACCGCTAACTCTGAGCGCCGGACTCTTTGTGCTTGGTGGGAGTGGGGGCCCGCGGACCCAGTGCCCGAATTCTTTAGAAGAGGACGCCAGGCAGGGCGATGCCTGTGCCTGTGGCTGTTCCCTGAGCCCGTGGGAGTGGTGTGTGAAGGACTGTAAGTGTCTGGCGTGAAGTGACTGTCATTTGCCAGATATTTGTCTGGCTGAGTGTGGCCCCGGGATCGTGTCCGTAAGCGGATTTCGCCCTTTTATCTTTCAGTATGAACCTGCATGCAGACGTGCGTGACAGTGGATCTTGAATGAATGAAAAACTCTGGATGCAAGGTAGGGTGTGCTTGTGGGTGTAGATGTGAGACTTGGCGTTTGTACCAGTGCTGCATGTCTTTGGCTGTGGTCACTGGAAATATATTTTTATATGAAACATCGATAGCCCCAACACTTCATTGATTTTTTATTTTATTTTCGTGTATTAACTACATTGTTTTGTGTACGTACTAAACTCATTCTCCTCGTCCCCTCCACCACATTTGGGGAGTGGAGTGGGTTGGTGAAAAGTATAGAAAAGCTCGAAGAACAAAAATCATAGTTCTACCAGCCATGCAACCAGTTAAAATTTACTTTCCATCTTTTCACCCTCTCCTTTGTGAATACATACGTATACATTCGTATGTTCCATATGTGTGCATAATGGCTTCAGAATTGCAGTCACACTTTACATACAGCTCTGTAACCGACCTTTCTCATTTAACAATAAATGATTGATATATTTACATTTAAACAATCACAAATTACACTTTTTTTTTTTTTTTAGATGGAGCCTTGCTCTGTGGCCCGGGCTGGAGTGCAGTCGTGCGATCTCGGCTCACTGCAATCTCTGCCTCCCAGGTTCAAGCCATTCTTCTGCCTCAGCCTCACAAGTAGCTGATGCTACAGGCACTTGCCACCTCACCCGGCTAATTTTTATGTTTTTAGTAGAGACAGGGTTTCCCCATATTGGCCAGGCTGCTCTGGAACTCCTGACCTCATGACCCGCCTGCCTCGGCCTCCCAAAGTGCTGGGATTACAGGCATCAGCAACCGCACCCAGTCTATGCCTTCCTTTTAAACTGTATCATGGCATACGTTTACTCCTGCTGATGGGTGATTTGGTTCTCTCTAGCTTCTTGAAATTATAAACAGTGTGTTTATCAGCAACTATTTGGCACGTTTTAATGTGCCTTTCTAAATTTTTTTGGAGTGGGAGCAGGCTCCTAAAAGTAGAACTGATAGGTCAAAATATATGCTCTTATTAAAGGTTTCCTGAACTTATCCAATTATTCTTCTGTGAAGTTCCAATAATCTGCAGTGTTATTGGCATAGTATAAGACTGCCTGTATCCTCATACACCCGTGATAACAATAAATATTGTAAATAGTAGTCATCTTTGTTAACTTCATGGCTATGAATTAATTAATTTGCTATAAAACAATTGTTTACTTATTGAAGTCAAGCATTTTAAAAAATCGTTTGTGAATTATTTGTTTTCTGAAGTAATATTCTGTTTTCAAATTTCTTTTCCAGAGTTCTTCGTATATTAAGGATTCATTCATTCATAGACTCATCACTTATTGAATGTTGTCTGTGTAACAGGCACAATTGTAGGTGCTCAGGATATAGCAGTGAACAAGAGACTAACCCCCTACCATCATGGTACTTACATTTTTGTGGACCAGATAATAAACAAGGTAAGTAAATTAAATATGAAGTATATTAAATGGTGAAAAATACTAAGAAAAAATGTAAAGTGAGAGGATATTTATAATTAGTGATGGGAATATGAGTTTTAGATGGGCTAGCCAGGGAAGGCATCCTGAAAAGGTGGTGATAAAGATATGAAGGAAGTAAAGGAGCTTTTTATACATAAGTGAGGAAAGTTATTCCAGGCAGAGGGAAGAGTAGTTGTAAAGGCTCTGAGGTGGCAACTTGCCTATTATAATGAAGAGGCTGGTGTGACTGAAATAGAGTAATTGAGGAGGGGAATAGTGGGAGAGAAGAAAGGTAAGTAGAGGGGAGGAGGGCAGATCAGATTGGGCTTTATGGCCCATAGTAATGATTATGGCTCTTCCTCTGAGATGGGAAGCTGCTGGAGGGTTTCTTGAGCATGGAAGTCATACTGTCTGCTTACAGTTTAAGAAGATTGCTTTGGGCCGGGCGCGGTGGCTCACGCCTGTAATCCCAGCACTTTGGGAGGCCGAGGCGGGTGGATCACGAGGTCAAGAGATCGAGACCATCCTGGTCAACATGGTGAAACCCCGTCTCTACTAAAAATACAAAAAATCAGCTGGGCATGGTGGTGCGTGCCTGTAATCCCAGCTACTCAGGAGGC